GAGAATGGTGTGAGTACCCTGAAGCAGTGTGCAGTGGGCTGACCGTGTTACTTGGGTGCAGAAGCAAGGACACGGAGCAGGCATTACACTGGGGTAAGAGAGCCCTTTTAAGCAGGCAGGCTCCCAGCGTTGCCCAGCAGAATGACTGGGCATTTCTGGTCTCCATCATGAATGCCAACCGTACTCGCGCAGTACTGTCCCAAGCAAGCCACCTATACCCAGGGCACTTTCACCCCGGGTAAGATTCACAGGGACCATTTCTCCCCAGCTGTACCTCCAGGGCCTAGATTGCTCAGCATATATGAGACACTTGGAACAAGTGTGGCTACTGGAGTTTGACATTGGTTGAAAGAAGAAGGCTGAAAGGAAGGAAAAACAAAAAAGAAGAAAAAGAGGAAAAAATCGTTGTAGTCAGTTGCTTCATTAGGTAGTTAATTAGTGAAAGGCATTTTGGAGTAATTTCCTACTTGGTTACACATTAATTGGCAATTAAAAATAAAATTACAGGTTGAAGGATGTGACTCGGCGATTGAGCACAGGCTTAACATGTGCCAGGCCTTGGTTTTAATCCCCAGCACAGCAAAATAAATAAGAAGATCCATTAACCTTTCCAAATAAAATGCATGAATTAAAAACCGCGCTGAAATGAATCTAATGGCATATTCTTCCAAGTACCAAAAGTGAAACCTGTGTCCTTCTGAATCCAGGTACATGGCGTAAGGTAGCTTGTCCCAGACTCACCAGATCCCTGTGAATATAGCAGTTCCTCTCCAGGTACGCCATTCCTTCACATATGTCCTGGCACACACTCAAGAGCAATGGCTTCTGAAGCTTGCCTTTTCTCTCCCTCAGATAGTTAAGCAGGCAGCCATTTTCCATGAACTCTGTCACTATGTAGAGGGGCTTCTGCTGTATACACACCCCATAAAGCTGAACTAGCCTCGAGTGTGACAGTTTCCTATAGGAGAAAAACACACCAGTGAACTGGATTCCTCTTGCATTTAAAGCAGTAGTATGCCATTTCTATATTGGAGATAAGATAAACATCAACCCCAACCACCAGGAAGGCACAGCATCTTCTTTCCACGTTAGGCACTGAAAACACAGGCTCGGGAGTTTGTGCCGTGCTTCCGAAGTTATCGTTATAAAATGCTGCATGCCCCATATCCAACTGGCAGCACTTTCCTTTTCACCCTGTGGTGTCATCGTGTGCGTCCTCATTATTGATTTTCCCCAGCCCAGGTTCTCAAGGCTTTGAATCCTACTCATCCTAACTACAGCCTTTAGATGGGAAATTCCAGGCAGGCAGTGGGGAAGAAAGAATGATTGATGGTCACAGGACAGAAAAGGGAATTCTAAATAGTAAAGCTATTTAAAAGCAAATGTTTAATGCTGTTTTGTACTGTTTCTTTTGTATTCACTGTAACCATCCGCTTGAAAGACAAAATGTAACCATATGGTAATTTGTATATTTCCTGAAAAGTCTGTTGGGGTATATGAGATGTAGGGGAACAAAGTATACAGCAGAAAGAAAGAACACAAGTGAACAGAGAATAAAGAGAGATTCACCAGGAAAAGAAAAAAATAGTGAATGTTTAGATACAGCTGGAGACTAAAAATGATTTGCCAGCATGAAACCATATATTGTGAAGTTGGTAATCACACAGAGTTTAAGTTTTCCATTGAAATATACTCATAATTAAAAAAAAGACATTTAGTTTTATGTGTATAGGTATTTTGCTTCACATATGTGTATGTGTACCATGTGCATGTAGCACTCATAGAGGCCAGAAGAGGGCATCAGATCTGTGGAACTGGGTCAACAAATAGTTGTTAAACCACCATGTGGCTCCTGGGGATTCTGTAGGAGCACCCGACACCCTTGACAGCTAAGCCCTCTCTCAGGCCCCATTACTTACATTTTTAAAAAAGCAACCTAGGCTTCAGAATTTATTGGGTCCCTTCTCCCCCACTATCCCCCCCTCCGCCAACCTGTGAAATATATCATTCAATGTCTAAATGCCTTTTAGGTCAATTGGGGTCACAAAGAAAAAGAAAATTTTAATTAATGTTTGCAGTTTTAAAAGATATATCATCAATTCTGTGATGTGAAATAATGTGAAAAGTTGAAAATTACCTTAGAAATGCTTTTCTTTTCAGCTAGTGTGTGTGTGTGTGTGTGTGTGTGTGTGTGTGTGTGTGTGTTCATATTTGTAAATGTGTATGATGACATGGGTATATATTATTAGACACACTTTGATTTCTTCCAAGTCCATAGAGCATATTTTCAGTTAGGAATGTGTTTTCCATGCATGCAGAATAATGTCAGGAAAGCAAGTCTCAGAATGACATACTTCCATGCCATGAGAAACCCAAGACCAAGGCTACACAGAATCATTTGAGAACTGAAACATTAACAGCCATTTGCTTATGAGGGCAACTGACAACTTGTATCTGAAATAAGACAAATATCTATTAGAAAAAAATCAAAAGCAAGTAAGTAAACTTTCATATGTGATTCAGATGAACAAACAGAACAAAACCCTCCCACAGGCAGAGAACTATGCAAGCAGAAATGTGAGTTCCTGCTTCCCGTAACGCTAGTTTTCTCTATACATATCCTTCCCCAGTTAGAGAAGTGTTGGGACTCCCTGCAGGGAGATGTATTTAAATTAGTTTTTTAAAAGTATTTTTTCAAAACGTCTACAGCCTTCTCCTGTTATCCTTTCCTAATTCCTCCTAGTCTCTTGGCAACAGATCAAGTTTCATGGTTCTCAAAGTCATCTCTGGGGACCATTCTCAAATTCATTTCCCCCAGCTTGACCTTTCTCCTGGACTCTAGCCTAGTGCATTTACCTGGCTAGTTAGTCATTGATGATCTTCTAATAGGCTTCTCAAATTCAGCACACACACACACACACACACACACCCCTCCCACCCGGAGCTCCCTGCACAGCTTTCAGTTAACTGGACTTGAGAAAATTCTTTTCCATTTTCTTATTGTTTTTGTAGCCTGTGGAGGGGTTTTTGACTCTTACAAATTCCTGGACTCCTACATTATATAAGTTTTATCAGCTTCCTAAGCCTTCTGAGCAGGGGAGTGGAGGTAGCATTCCAAGTTAGAAGAAAATAGTTATGCAAAAGTCTAACTCATGAGTTCCTCGATGTGGATGCCTCTTTCAAGAAGCCCCTCATCTCATGGTCAGAAAAGATCCTGAAATTTTTAATTAATGCTGAGTTACATGAGTCCCATTCATAGTGTGTCACATTAATCCAAACACATGCTACTACCCTTCAGATGCAGAACTCCCTGATCAGAGAGTATATAGGTCAGCAAACAGGTGTTTCAGGTACATTGTAAGGACAACATCACTGGGAAGCTGATATCCCTGGAAAATCATGTTCATTATAATTACATCCAGATTCCTTCTCTCGTAAGTGGATAGAAAAGATATTTTGGTAGCATCAGTGGGATATGAGCTTGAAAACTCTGAGTCCTAACTTCTCTGTCTTCCCCAGAGAAGGCTCTAGCTAATCACTTCCGGTTACTATCTAATCTCTGCTCATTTTGTTTCCCTTTGGGACCTGCAAGTTTGGCACACAACTCCATTGCTCTGGACAGTAGCACAGCTGAAATGGAACACTTAGGCTTTTGTTTTTGTTGTTGTTTTTCCTCTGATGTGTTAGTATTCTTCGAAATAAATACTGAGCAAATGTTTAGAGAATGTTGGTTTGCACTATCCTGGTCCAAGCTCAGGTTACAAATTATTCAGCACCTATCACAGAGCTTACAATTATATACTTCCCTTGTCTTTTCCACTAATCATTTCAATAAATCACACCCTGGTCCAGTGCCATATGTACTGTTATTCCCAATTTTATAGGCAAGGACTTTGGAGAGTGGAAAGTGACATAGTTCATGCACATCCCATGGAGGTTAAACAATTGGCCTGGGTTACACAACTAGCTTGGGCAGAGTTGCGACACAGTTGCAAGTGTGTCTGAATCCAAAGTCCAGGATCTGTCCAAGACCTTGAGGTGTTGGGTCATGTTTGTGTGGGTGGGGCTCACACTTACATCATCACTTTGGCTTCTTCAATGAAATCCTCTTCAGACATGAAGCCTTCATTGATGGCCTTGATGGCGACCCGGATGTGTGCTCTCCATTTTCCTAAGTGGACCACACCAAACTGACCACTTCCAATCTCCTTGACAAAAGCCAGCTCAGACGGGTCTATCTCCCACTTCTCTGGAAAGGCAAATGACTCATGTTACAAAAGAGAGAGAATGCTAACTTTTTTCAGAGAAAACATTTTGGAATTATCTAGGCATTGCCGCTTGCATCACATAGAAGTTAAAGATATTGTGGCCTTATGTATAATTCATAACATCAAGTATTAAGAGTCACCTGCTTAGAGACAGGAATATATAACAAATTGTGACTATAAAAACATTGTATAAACATATCAGTGTACTTTACTAGACAAAGCTAGACCTGGGGCCTAAAACATGGATGTTCCTACCCTGGTTTTGTTATGGTGCGAAATGTGTAAATGTATAAACCACAGGAAGTTGGTGTTACTTCCTCTTCCTTTTTCAGTTCTCACTGTTCTCACTGCTAAAGAACCTCCCTGCCTCCTGTCTCATAATCTACTATATATATATATATTGCCAGAGTGCTAACCAACATATATATGTGTATCATATATATATATATATGTGTGTGTGTGTGTGTGTGTGTGTGTGTGTGTGTGTGTATCATATACATATATATATATATATATGTAATTTGAGGTGAAATTTGTGTTACAGTACATTTCTTATAAGCAAATCAGGAAGGAGGAAGAGGAAGAAAACTTTTCAAAATAATGCCCTTGAAACTGATAAGCTTTACTTTTTAGCACCTAATTTTTTATATACCAACACTACCATCTGCTGGAACTTTAGGGTAATGCACCTAGCAGAATTTTTAAGGGTGATAAGCCCCCCTAGTACCAGTGCTGGGAAATAGTCATCAACCCAGTAGTGAAATGCTGTTGTAAAAGTAACATGAGAAAATGGATTTACAGCTTTGATGATGGCATAGAATTGCTTAATAAAATATGATCACAGAGGGAAATATTAATAAATTGCAACTCAAAATTTTGTCTGTTCGTATGGAGAGATGACTCAGTGGTTAACAGCACCTGCTCTTGCAGAGAACTGGAGTTCAATTTCCAGCACCCACATGATGGCTGAAAACTTTTCTTAGCTCCAGTTCAAGGGGACCCAACGTTCTCCTTCTTCTGGCCTCTGCAGGCAACAACCACTAATGAAGGGCACTTACAAAACACTCATACATGTAAAATAAAGAGAAATCTTTAGAAGAAAGTGTTAAGAATAAATCAACCACTAGGCAGTGGTAGTGTATGCCTTTAGTCCCAGCACTTGGAAGGCAGGGGCAGGTGGATCCTTGTGAGTTCGAGGCCAGTCTCGTTTGCAGAGCTAGTTCCAGGACAGTTAAGGCTACACAGAGAAACCCTGTCTCAAAAAGACAAGAGAAAAAAAAAAACAAAAGCAAAAACAAACAAACAAACAAAAAACCAAAAACACAAAGAAATAAATCAATCAGGAAAAAAGCATAAACTCTGATTTAAGGGTAAAGATGATGAATATTTGATCATTAAAGAAAATATCCAAGTGGTCTCTACATCTATTAAAAGGTGGCCAAAGTCATGAGGGGTCAAAAGTAAACCATTGTACACTTATCAGACTGGCTGAAATTAAAAAGAAATTCTAAATATTGGTAAGGGTCCAAGAGTGGCACTGGCATTCTTAGGTAGGTGTGGAATTTGGAATAAACTTTTTGGAAAATTGGTTCTGCCTAGTAAATCTCAAATTGTGCATAGTCCATGGCCCAACAAACCTAATCTAAAGTATACATGTAGTGCAGCATAAATGAACATTTATCATCTAAACACAAATAAGAACTTTCATAGCAATAGTATTTGTAACGAAGGCAGTAATCCTAACATTGTAGCACTACATCACAATGAAAATGAGTCAGCCACACCCAATACCATAGATGAAATTCAAAGATGTAGTGAGAACAGGAAGAGGTCAGACACAAGCGTGTGTAGTCCCTCATTCTATTAACTGAAGTACTCAAAATTTGGTAAAACTATATCATGGGAGAGTTGTGGCTTATGTTTCATTTTGTTAAAAAAAAATTGAACTTTTTCTAAGAAATTGAAGAGCATGATATTCAGGCCAGGCAGTGGTAGTGCATGCCTTTAATCCCAGCACTAGGGAAGCAGAGGCAAGTGGATCTCAGTAAGTTCGAGGCCAACCTGGTCTACAAAGTGAGTTCCAGGACAGCCAGGACTGTTACACAGAGAAACCCTGTCTCAACAGGGGGGTGGGGGACACAAACAAACAAAAACAGAACATGAACATGATATTCAACCAAATTGTTAATAACAGAAGTTCTTACATACAGGAATGACAAAGGTATCAATTAACCATGAAGTCAGTCTTCCAACATGCTTAAATGGAGACCCTGAAGCATAGTCATTTTTATACACTATAACTGTCACTGTTACACCCCCCACCTGCAGATAATCTGAGTCCTACAAAAGAGAAATTCAAGGGAACAAAATTTTGAACAAGTCAAGTCTGAAAGCAAGGTTCCCTGGCTCACATTTATTCTCCCAGACTTGAACATATCACACTTGAGACTGAGGGTACCAGTTCCTTTCGAACAAAGGTGAAGTGATGTTCAACAGCTCTTCTTGATAGCATCTCTTAGAAACAATCATTTCCAAGCCATCCTTGTAGCCAGAAAACAACAGCCTCAATCCAGAGAATAGAAGTTATTTATCAAAATGGGAAAGATGACAGCTCTTCATAAGCTGTAATGAAATATGAAATAAACCAAAACATTGCTACTGAGTTTAAACTGCCCTAGGAGATGGATTATTTAAACATCTCCAGCAAGGAATTTAAATTTTTTAAAGAAACATAAGTAGGTAAACATTTCAAATGAACTGAGAATTTAAAGAATCTGTAGGGTGGTTCCTGGATGGGTGGGTGGATGGATGGATGGATGGATGGATGGATGGACGGACGGACAGACAGACAGACAGACAGTTGGACAATGGATAGATGTCTTCCCTCAGCATATGTCTATACTTTACCATAGCTAAAACCAGCGGTGGCTGGTAAGCAGCTTCCCAGAAACCCAACTGGATATCGGAGACGGGACATGAGGCCTAAGGAGAAAAAAAAAAAAAAAAAAAAAAATGAGCATATCAAGACTCTACTAGTTACAGAAGGAAGAACTAGATATAGTAGAATTTAGCACTTGTCTTTAAATAATGAGGCAGAACAGTGTGCACAGATGAATTGTTAGCACTTTGGTGAAAAACTTGGCAAAACTCTTAAATAATTGGAAACATGTGTGAATTAAATACATTATACAAAAATACCAATGTTTTATTATAAATTTTCATACCAAGCATGTAGTTTATATATACAACTATAAGTAGACTCTAAAATATTTCTGAGATCTCACTACTATAAAATATGCTATATTTTCTTGAACATGGTCTTGTATGAATTCTCTCAAATTTTCCTCTTATAAAATGGGATATTTGATCAAATTGTTTCCAAAAGTGCTAGAAAAAATTCACTTAACCATCAAATTGAACATCTTTTGGAAATAGTTTTTTGTGGGATTTTTTTGTTGGTGTTCTGTTTTGTTTGAAGGTAGCACAGTAGAATGAGTAAGACTTCATTTGACTAGGTCAACATGAATTCTAAATGATCAGTTCCAATTTATCAATAAACATTCATTATTTGTTTCTTCAATTGCTACAGTCTGTTTGCATCACATTTCATCTTGACATTAGGAGACAGTGTTAAATGAGATGCTGATGGCCTCTGTTCTCACAGACCCCATTTTGTATCAGGGATGGGAAATAAACCAGTGTGTGTACTCACAAGAAATGCAGACAGTAAACACAAGACAGAGTGGATAAACATAGTCATCTGAGAAGGGGTGATCTAGGAAGGTCTTTCAGACAAGATGATGGGGATGATGACACTGACTGACACAGGGCCATTCACAAAGATCAGCAGGAGAAGCCCAAGCCAATGAATAGTATGGGCAAAGCCTGGGAAGCAGAGACAAGCTTGGCTGGTAGAAAACCAGAAGGAATTAAGGCCTAAAATATACAGGATTCTCTTCCAGGTGAATCCCCAAGACCTCAACAGATCCAAAGACAATTAAGATGATTCTTCCTCCAGGAAGCTCTCCCTCAGTGAGGAAGCACAAGAAGAGACAGACCATTCTAATTTAAATGACGAAGATCACACAGGCCAGCTGGGACACAGACCAAGTACGCCAAGCACACGGGTTTGCCCGAAGGTGGACACTTAACCAAGAGTGGGAGTAACAAGAGGCAAAAAGTTATACTCAAGAAGTATTCTGGTATTATCTGGTTATGATGGGTCTTGTGAGCCCTATCAGAGAGCACTGCCTTTTACAGCAAAGGGAAGGAGGAAGAGATGGCATGCAGGAGATGGGGGTGGGTGTCAATCTCAAACAAGAAAGTGAAATCTTCCTATTTCCACTTGTGTTAGATCACTGGCAGTAGCACTGAAGTGGACTGAAGGGAAATGAACTTTGGAGACAAAGCATTAAGAAGCTGCTGGAAATTGTTACAGGAGGAATGATTAATTAGGGCAGCCCTGATACTAGGGAGAGACAAGGATCTAAATGAACATGTTTAGGACGTAAAAGTGATTGCATTTGCGACTTAGCTAAGAGTATTTATGTGGTGAACAGTTTATCATTCTTAACTCTTAATGTTGTCACATCCTGATCTTTGATTATTTTGTAACCATACCACATAATACTCTTTCTTAAGTGTTTCTTTAAAGGAAGGAGAAAGAGGAAGGATTGATGAGAAAGCAAACTCAGAACCAGCCTGCTGGTGTGGGTGTGTGTGTGGGTGGATTGTATCTCCAGTCTGATCCTTGACCTCCGGGCCTCTCCCCTATACCTCTCTCTAACTAAGCTGCTGCTGATCCTAGGAAATGCACGTGGATTCATCCTGTAAGTGGGAACACATGTCCTGGAATTTGTTCTTGATGTGCAAAACCAGTGTTAAGGAAAAGTATTCTCTTTTCAAATAAGTTGTTTTGTTTTGTTTTGTTTGGGTTTGGGTTTGTTTTTGGTCAACACAACTTTTCGTGAATGGAACATTCAAAAGAAACACATGGTAAAAAGGTAGGATAAGTTACAGTGGATGGATTCCAAGTTCCACAATGCTGAGGTACAAGCCTTTGCCTCTGGTTCCGAGTGGCTTGGCACAGACTGGCTGAGGGATGAAGACCAGTGCTGTGTCTGTGATTATGGTAGAACTTTCTGAGATCTCTTCTAGAAATGATAGGTTTGTATAAGAAGAGCTGGAGGAGAGGGATCAGTATTCTGCTATATATTAGCTATATTTGACCTATATTTACGTCAAAGTGTAACTGTGAAAGCCTGGGTTCTGTATTACTTTGTATTTTCTCAAAATAAGAAAGAATAGAGAATGTGAGGCTTAAAGATAATTCTTCATTGTAATTATCTCAACAAGAGAGCAGATTTGTGGGAGCCAAGGAAAGGAGCTCGTCATTTGGGATTTGAAGCTGTATTACATTTAACCCTACTTAACCTTCCAGAATACATACTAAATCCCATTGGCTTCTCTGTCATCTACCATCTTTCTAATCTGATAGACATCAAAAACTGCAACTCAAGTCTTGCTCCTTGACCAGAAAAAACAAAACAAAACAAAAAAAGACACATTGATGAAAACAACCATTGCCCAAGGGACTTTTGTTGTGGAATATTTAAGACCATGCATGCCTTCCCTGCCAAGGGACTGGCCCCAGCCCTTCTTACCACACCTGACTCCTCACTGCTGTGGAATAATCCTTTTGTACACTGTGAAGATGTTTTGCTCTTATTGGTTTAATAAAGAGCCAACTGGCCAATCACTAGACAGAAAGAGGTTAGGCGGGGGAGCCAGAAAAGGAACCTTGGTAAGGAGGGTGAAGTCTCTAGCCAGGTGCAGAGGAAGCAGATGAACAAGCCTAGCTGAAAAAGGGTAATGCCCTGTAGTCAAGCATAGATAGGAAATACCAGTTAAGTTGAAAATACTAGTCAGTAAAAAGCCTAAGCTATCGACCAAGCTTTTATATAATTAATAATAGATCTCTGTGTGGTTATTTGGGGTGCTGGTGGTCCCAACAATAAACTCCACCTACACCTCACTTACCAGCTGCATTGTACTGGTGATACTGGATCAGCTCGGGAACTGATGGAAAGAGATGTCTTTCGGTGACATACCATTGTCCTGAGTCATTCTTTTTAATCTGATAATGTTTTATGGAAGACTGTGCATGTCTGTAATCAATAAAATGTCAGTTACCAGAGAAACAAAAGGCTGTTTAGAATCAAGTCAGTGTGTTAAGCAGAGGGACCCCAGTACTCAAGCTTTCTTCCTGGCAACACTACACACCAATGAGAGGACAGATGGGCTCCACTAATGCCTGCTCATCCCAGGAAAAGCTCTCACATGTCTTACTGGCACCTCGTATTCAACATAACTTCAGAAGACAAGCCCCATGCACAATAAAGTGATGCTCATCGTAAAGCCCACATAAACTAAACAAATGAGAAATTGCATCGTGAAGGATTAGAAAGGTGAGATTAGAGAGGGACAGTCGATACGGGCAACCCTGCCAAGCAGGTTAACGGCTGTGTGCAGCTAGGCCTTCATTATTAAACTGCAGACAAGCTGAGGTAGTCACTCCTCAGCCGCTTCCCTCACTAAGGGAGGGATGTTCCTGAGGTGCTGCCTCTCAGGCATCTCTACCTCATCACAAGTTCCCATAGTCAGAGAACACCCTAGACCTAAAGGCACAGGAAGCTTGGCCCTCTGTGCAGCCCAACCCTAGAGGAGGCTGAGGGGTCTGAGGAACATGCCACAACTAGTCTAACTTGATTGGGAGGGCTGGTTGGGAAAAGGAAGAGAAAGAAAGCCATGTTATCACATTGCACAACACATTGCATGTCATGCAATAGATATGTCCAAGATACAATGTGAACTGGGTAGTTGTTCCAGTTTCCAGGCCAGCAGTCTCCTCCCTAAGCTGAGTCCTTTCTTAAAGTCCCTATGTGATGGTATCTGCATAAGAGCAAACTGTCCCAAGAACTATATCTAAAGTAGTCAAAAATCACAGATGCTTACTTTCCAGCTCTTGTAAACACAGAAATTGTATAGGACCCCAAATGTCTTGAATCTCTCACAATAAACGCACCTTCTTTAGCCTGCAAAAAACAAAATGCAGTCATTACACAAATGTATTCCTACTTAGAAAAACAAACCAAGACATCACTGATAAAAACAAAACCTAGATAGACTTACTTATAAGTAAGTAACATATATAAAAAATAAGTTATTTCTATATTCTTACTATTAAAGAGTGAGATTGCATTTGGAAGTGCATACTACCTTATCTCTTTCACAGGTTTAGCAATCATATGTTTAAGAGAAGGTAAATTAGATAGGAAATGTACAAAGTGTAACTATTTTAAAACATTATCCTTGATTTTTCCAGGAAAAGTCCTGGACTTGACATCCTGGTACCCAGTATGGTTTCTGTTGTATTGATTAGGATAACAGATGAAGATCACTGATCCACATAAAAACCAGCCCTGAGACTGACAAGACTGCATGTTAGAAGAACTGGAATGAAGGATGCAAGGAGAAATATTTCTGAAAAGGCAGAGAGTTGGACAAGAGATTACAGTTCACAAGAATACATATAGGGGATCCTGTTGGGAGTTGGAAACTGTTGTAGGATGTGGGAGAGATGAAGAGAGGAATGGTAGTGGGGGACACGGTAACACTTTTGTTTCAATGCTCAGTTAAGAACTTGGTCCCTGTGGACATTCTTTAAAGAAACTCCGAGAAAGCTGTACATTGCTTTCTGATCATTTTGACAGTTAGACTCTTCTGTTTGTTATTATGCAACTTTTCTGCTTTACTTCATGTGTTTTTGTTCCTGAAGGCAGAATGGCCTCAGGGTCTCTCATGAAACCTATAGAGCAGTGGTTCTCAACCTTCTAATGTTCCACCCTTTAATACAGTTCCTCATGCTGTGGTGATCCCCAACAGTAAAATTATTTCATTGCTACTTCATAAATGTAATTTTGCTATTGTTACAAATTTCAATGTAAATATTTGATATTCAGGATACCTGCTGTGTGATTCCCTCAAAGGAGTCACACCCACAAATTGAGACCTGCCACCAAGGTTACTATTGGCAACTCTGTGGCCCAAGAAGCATGGACAGCCCCTCACAGCACACTTAAGATACTAAACTCAATCTCCTCCCACAGTTGCACAAAGACACCTCGGTCTTCAACTGAACTCTCTTATAGGCATTGTAAATGACAAATCCAGCTTTTACTGAATTACTGTGATGCACAAGTGTTGCATTATATAACAAAGGGGGAAAACAAGATGTTAATGACAAAGGTATGGACAGAAAAGTTGTATGTATGTGTCTGTATGTATGTATGTTGGGATGCATATCAACATACAGAACATGCACATAACAAAATTATACATGGAGTGGTCTCTGCTTATAAAACTTCAAGGAAGGAAGACCACAAACAGTGTTTTCTAACCACAAAGCAACAGAACTAGAAATCTTTAAAAAAAAAAAAAAAAAAAAAAAAGCCCCCAAGTACAATACCCTGAGCATCTCCTCCTGCATTGCTCAGTCTGCTTTCTTATAGAACCCAGGGCCAACAGCCCAGGGATGGCACCATCCGCCAACAATGAGGTAGGCCCTTCCCCATCAATCACTAATTAAGAAAATGTCCTACAGGCTTGCCTACAGCCAGATCTTATAGAGGCATTTTCTAAATTGAAGTTCCCTCCTGTCAGATGACTTCAGCTTGTGTCAAGTGGACATACAACTAGCCTGCACACCAGCTGAAGTACAAGGTAAAAATAAAGATCAAAGTAGAAGATAATATTATAAAGGTGAAAATATGGTACAATCAGTAATTAAGTTCAAAATCTAGTTGTTCAAAAAAGTAACAGATAAACTAATTAACTAGTTAATAACTAATTGTGAAAATTATCAAAAGTTATTCCATAAGATGAATAAATCAATGATCTGTAAAAAAAAAAAAAAGAAAGAAAGAAAAGAAAAGAAAAGAAAAAAAGACTTGAATGCAATGGATATTTAGCTAACAAACTTGCCAAGATTGAATCCGCTATAACTAAAAGTCCTAAGAGTTCTGTGAATTAGAACAATGGGTATGACTCTTAAAAGACAGCATTAGAAAGAACCATAATCACATATTAGAAAATACTAACATGAAAGGAAAAAATAGTACAGATATTGAACTATTTCAAAGCAAAGTAACAAAAGATAAACTTCAAAATGTAAGGGTGTGAGGTCATTTTACCATTAGTAACATCAACCCAGCCCAGGCTGCACAAAAGAGAAACCACCAAGTAGCCTCATTTCATCACAAATATTACAGAAAATGTTAATAAATTGAATCCAGTAGCATCAGAACCCACATGCACCACAGCCTACTGAGTCAGAGTATCTGAGAGTTCTTCCCTAATGTTGTCTGTATATTCAGCACAACCATGGAAGGTTTGGCTTCATGTGTCATGGTGATCCTGAGAGTGAGGAAAGCTAGGGACACCAGAGAAAGCCTCCATATTTAAAACAGTTTATGAACAGACAGTCTGGCCAATGATGACAAAGTAGAAAATACAGACATAATCCAAAATAAATTTTTTTATCATTATGAATGTGGCAACTAAAGTGAATGCAGAATAGAAAGACACTTGGTAAATTTACAGGAATTCAGTAATCTTCCCCTTACTCATTGCATCAGGAAACATTGCGAATGAACCAAAAGTATAAGTTTACAAAATAAAACCACCAGCATCATCAAGAAACATGGAGGTATTTTCTTGTAACCTTGGAGTAGAGAAGGCAATTCTATGTTGATACAGTTTATCAACCTTTACAAAAACTTTGTCTGAGCACCCCTTACCAGCAGGAAGTAGTTTGGAAAGAACAACGCCCAAATTCCCAAATATTGTGTATAAATGTTTGTTTTCATTTAATTGGACTTTGTTATATAAAATTAAATAAAAAAGAGTATCTTAAAAAAAAAACTTTGTCTGATAAATTCAAATATGTAAAATCCAAATATCATGCCAGAAAATGGCTGCACAATTGAAAAGGTAGAGGAAATATTGCCACATGCCACAAAGGATTAGTTTCATTAGCTATAGCTACAGAGATTCTATAAATTCTGAGAAATGTATCAAAAATCTAGTAGAAAGGCACACAGAGAATATGAACAGTTACAACAAAGAAAATCAAACACATAAAATGTAATGTATGAAAAATGTCTAACACCTCTAGGCTAAAAAGATATGAATCAAATTCACAGTGAAATGAAGCACCAGAGGAAGGAGCCAGATGTCTCATGTGATATGCTACCTCAAAAGCCTGTGGGAAACAGCTGCTCTTGTATTTCCGGTGGGTATATAGACCCTCGCACCATTCCTACAGGGGCACTTTGAGGTCTATGGAAGTTAGAAATACACATTCCCTTTGGCCTTAGATTTCCATCTGGAGATTTGGTCTACAAAAAGACTCATATAAATGGAAAAAGACGTGTGTGAGGCGAGAATTGAAAGCAACTTTGTTTTAAGAGAGGAAGAGAGCATATCTCACTTACTTTCCATGAGCTATTGATTTGCAAATGATGTTTTATGGTGGTTTGAAAGAAAATGACCCCTATGGGGAGGTGTGGTCTTGTTGGAGGAAGTGTGTCCCTGTGGGTGTGTTTTTGAGGATTCCTATGCTCAAACTATGCCCAATGACACAGACTCCTTTTCTCAGTTCCTTCTCCAGCATCATGTCTGCCTGCATATCACCCACCAAGGCAATAATGTACTAAACTCTGAACCATAAGCTAGCCCCAGTTAAATGCTTTCCTTATAAGAGTTACATTGGTCATGGTGACTCTTCACAGCAATGGAAACCCTAATTAAGACAGTGATGCAGCTAAACTAGAAAATGATATGCAGATATATAAAGCCAATGAAAGACACACTTGTGTACTGATGTTGGAAGACTCAGTAGGAAGGAAGAGTGGTATGTAGAAGAATATACATAAGGGGCCAAGGATATAGATGGTTCGGTGGGTAAAGCACTGGCTGCATAAGCATGGGGATCTGAGTTTGGATCCCTAGCATCTGTTTAAATATCAGGCACATGTAATCCCAACATCTGGTAAGCAGAAACAGGGAAGCCCAGAAACAATCAGGCTGGCTTGAATAGACACATTAGCAAATTCTGGGTTCAAGTGACGGACCCTATCTTAACATATACTATAGAGAGCAATCAAGGACTATTCCAGATATCAACCTCTGGCTTCCACACACAGTTCTTGTTAGGGATATGGTCCCTGATTGGTTGACTACGCTCCAGTGGATGGCTTTACCCCTGTGCATGTATGGGCAATTATAGTTAGCAGGTTATTTTTTTTAAAAGGATATGGAGTTGTAAGGTGGATGTGAGCAGACATCTGGTTTGGAAGAAGGGGGAGGTGAATATAATCAAATTGAATTGCATACTTGGATGAAATTCTTAAATAAATAAAAGTATAAACTAGTATCTTACTTTTCTATTTCCATGACCAAGGCAACTTCTAAAAGAAACCATGTAATTTGGGACACATAGTTCAGGTCTAGAGGCCATATGACCATCCTGGTAGGGAATAGGGCAGCAGGCAGGAATGGTGATGGTGCAATAGCTAAGAGCTCATATCACAACCACAAGCACAAGGCAGAAAGAGATAGAGCTAATTGAGAATGGCTGGGCTTTTGATTCTTCAAACCATGTCCAACCCATGACAAACCTTCTGCAACAAGACCACACGTTCTGATCCTTCCCAACAAGTTCCACCAACTGGGGACCAAGCATTCAAATATATGAATCTATAGGGACCATTCTTATTCAGGCAACCATATCTAGTCAAACTATTCTGAATCAAATCTTGAAAATACTTAGCAATATTAAATCTGAACATTCAGTGTGTACATGTGTATGCAAGATTATTTTTCCAAACAGTAAGAAGCAGGAAACAGGTTGAATTCTTATGAACAGTTGGTGGATTTTATATACGCATATAATGAAATGTTAAATAATATGGTGGTTCTACATGTACACATATTAATGAAAAATTTAAAAGAAAGTGTTCATAAAAATCCTAAGTCTTAGATTGTGGGTCATACCTATTATCCCAGTACTTGGGAAATTGAGGCAGGAGGACTATCTCAAGTTTGAGTTCAATGTAGGCTACACAATGAGAGTTTAATCTCAAAAATAAGCAAATATCAATGTATATGAGCTTTATGTCAAGTGGTAAAATTATTCATCTACACAGATGATAAAAACATAAATTGATGGGAAAAATGAGAGCGCATCTGCCTTTTGTGACTGTCTTTCATGAATGTAGGGGGAAATGATCGCATGGGGTTCACATGTGTAATTTTAGACCCTTAGACTGTCAGGGCAGCTGAGCATAGGAGGAAGGAATATCACAAATTAAAGATTATTCTCAGTGAATTTAGTGAATTTGAGGCCAACCTGGGCTACATGAGGTGTTATCTCAAACAAAGGTAAATAAAAAACCAAAAGAAAAACAATCAGGGCCAAATTTTTAATATTGCATCATTGTGGCAGGCATGCGGGCTGTTCTACAACTCTAGTGTCTTCAGGAAGACAGACGTCCCAATTCCAGAATCTTTTGTGCTGGACATACACACACTCCTGTGATTTGGATCATGTGATCTCTATCATCTTGCTCATTGGGAAACTACTCCCAGCTTTCCTTCCCCTAACTTTGCAGAGTGGGGCTACTGATTTCACTAGCATTCTCTAGCAAGCAGAGCTAAGCTGTCTAGACCCCACCTACACCCACACCTGAGGCCAAGTCTTGGTTTCCCCATCTTCTACATGTTCCCCCATTTCAGAAAGGGTCTTCTCTGCACCCTGGGCATTACTAACGTGGAATATTACACACACACACACACACACACACACACACACACACACACACACACACACACAACTGATTCTCCTTCACATTTCTAGAGTCCCTGAACATCTAAGGCCGGCACAGAATGACACAACACTTCCTGACTTCCTGTCCAGGTTCCGGTTTGACTCTTCATTTCCCCGCAGTTACTGTGCACTGACAGTCGGAAACTTGGGCTCCACACTGTTTTGTCTTGGTTTGACCTAAATGAGTAGTTTTGATCTGAATCTACTATTCTAACCACCAACTCTCCCCCTTTGTTCCGGAAGACTAAAGAAACTAGTACTGAATAGTTCTCCGTATTTTTGTTTTTCTGGAGCGTAAGCAGAGGTCACAAGGTTAGAGGTTCTGTTGTGCAAAGGGTTCATATGTCGGTGTTCTCCATCTGTGGGTGATAACGCCTTTGGGTCTAATGACCCTTTCACGAGGGTCACCTAAGTCCGTCGGAAAACACGTATATTTACATTACACTTCATAACAGCAGCACAATTACAGTTATGAAATAGCAACAAAAATAGTTTCATGGTTGTGTGTCACCACGCCATGAGGAAATGTGTTAAAGGGCCACAGCGTTACCCCACTGCCGTGTGGGTAACTCGGATACACACTCCCCTGAGAGAATACATGCTGACTGAAGGTATGGTGTCAACATCATTTCAGGAGAAACATGTTTCTGAAATTACCAAGCAGTCCGTGAAAAGGTGATCTTAGGCAAATATGCCCATTTTTGATTTAGAAAAAATGTGCAGTGGGAAAGAGTTTGTAATGGAATTTTAAGATTAAAAAGAATAAGAATACACCTTTCTGAATGGCTACAATCTTCATAATAAACTTCTCAGGATAACTAGAAACATTCATGGGCTCTTCTGGGCATACTGAATTACCTCTTGTCTCAATAGGCGTTCAGTCTGGTTTCTAGTAATGTTCTTATGGTACCATCTGCAAAAGTAACAAAGGACACATTTTTTAACTTTATGTTAAATTTTCTTCAGGCTAAAAAAGAAAAAAACTCTAATTATTTCATTTTAAAGCTTTTACTTTAGAATTTAATTTAGAAAACTATAGCTTAAATTCAGATAAATAACAACATTCTGTTATATTTCCAATTTAACAAGGTCAATACATTTGTTTCTCATTTCAAGCCATTAAATAGTTCATTCTACCAGCTCAGATCACCCTTCTGGCCCACACAGTACTTATATATAATTTCTCATGATTTAACATCTTATAAAATTCCATGAAAAGATATGAAACTAAGAAGTTATCTTTAGGCACTGGGGAGATGGCTCAGCAGTTAAGAGCACTGGCCACTCTTCCAAAGGACCTGGGTTCAATTCCCAGCACCCACATGGCAGCTCACAACCATCTGTAACTCCAGTTCTAGGGGATCTGACACCCACACACCAATGCACATAAAATAAAGTTAAATAAATCTTTCTTTCTCCTCAGGATGTTCCCATTTGCATGTTTTTAGAAGTGTTAGGTCCCTTTCCAAAGTGAAATCCATCCTGACTTATGTAATTTTCCTTAAGACACTCCCCTCTCCCAGTATGGTTACTACTTAACAGAATTTATGGATAGGGACAGCCAACCACTGATCTGACCCAAATGCTCTCTCCTGCCTTCTCTCTCGCCACAGTCTCCCCTTATTCACTAAGCCACATTGGGATTCCTTCCTTTCTTATACCATCAACCACCCTTCTACCTTCAACCCCTGTTTTCTCTCCATTCAACATGCCATTAGGTGACTAGACCATCAGAAATACACACAGTATATGTAGTTCAGTATGACCACCCTTAAGCAATAAACACATAGTTACAAAAAAAGAGGGAAATACAGTTCAACAATGAAGACAGAAAGGTTGAGAAACTTTCAACTTCAAAACAACACATTCACAAAGAGCTTCATTACAGGAAATACTACTTGGTGGAGAGAAAAAGGCAACATTGAACATGAACTGAGTCACCATGGATGGGCCAGAGGTGGCTAACTGAAACCTCTAAAAGGATGGTGTCTCTTTCTCTAACACCTGGTGATGAGAAACTGACTCAAAATGTGGATGGTCAGCTACCTAAACCATTAACGTCATTAAACTGAAAAACAAGCCATAGAGAAGATGAACCGCAGGCATTAGGAGTTGATGACAATGGATTTTAGACAAAGTAATTGGCCACTCTAGGTGTGGCAGGGAAGAGTAACTGAAGATCACTTGGGACTTTTAAATGAATACTACAGTATTAGAGGAATTGCAACATGGGCCTGAGATGTCCTACAGAAAGAAGAAATCACTTCAGAAATGAGCCAGTATTAAAGACATGGGGACTAACATGAAGAGGTGGACACTGGTTATGTTGTAAAATTTGCATGTTAAAAGAAAGTAGTGATGGGAATTCACCAAAATAAGTTGAATCTGTTAGAGGCCAAGACTGTAAAATGATACTTAAATTGAGAGAAGTTCACAATAATTGCATTCTTAAATAAAATTTCCCCCCTGTTATGGCATTGGTGTTAATTTTAGTATTTTACATTTGTTTATCATAGTGATAAAATAACAAAAGTGAATGCATTCATTTTAAATATGAATTTGAAATTCATCCACATGGAAATATCGTAAGAATAACTTCAAAGAGCCAGGCAGAAGTCTGTGACAAAAATCAGGTTCCTTTAGGGACACTTTCCTTTCTAAGTAATGAAGAGGTTTGGTGAGGGTGACTTGAGATTGGGAGCAGTGTTTTGGAATCGCATCCATTTAAATCATACGCTAAAAGTTAGGAGGACTTTTAAAAACTGAGGTAAGACTATGTCTTGCTTTCATTTTCCATTGCTGAGTCTATTTTGGCTCAGAATTGCATTACAACCCATTATCTCTGGAAGCTGCAGCAGGAACCAGACATTGCTGGTCGCAGTGTATCCACAGTCGGGGGAGGGGGGATTAGTGGTACACACTAGAGCTCTGCTTGCTTTCTCCACTCTTTTCTTTTCAGAACTACTTGGGATTTTTTAATGAAAAATCACTGTACTGTAATGAATTTACTGATGAAAAACACCTAGACTTGTTCTGGTAGCCATTCTATTGTTGTTGGTCAACTTGACTACATCTGGAATGAGCTAAAACAGAAAAATGGTGGGGCACACTCACTTAATTAAATCTTTTGAAGTAAGAAAACCCATCTGCTTGCAGCCATGGGAGAAGGAAGAAGGAAGCTTGCTCTCTTTGTCTGCTTGCCCTGACTCTCACATTAGAGCCTACTTCTTTGGGATTCTGGAATATAATGAAGACCAGCTGAGACATTCAGCTTCAAAGACCTTCCATTGGTAGACAGCCATTGGTGGACCTCCTGGACCACATTCTGTAAGCCATTCTAATAAATCCCCTTAATATAATACTTACAGGTGACTCCTTCTGTAAGTCCTATTACTCTGATGAATCCTGACTAATACACCACCCAAATAGTCATGGAGTTCTATGCAGTTAAGGATCCTCTGCCTGGGAATGTTGCCAGTCACAGTGGGTGGGTATTCCCTTTCAGAGGAAGCAAAACAATCCCCTGTGGATGGGCCCACAGGCCAACCTGATTCAGTCAACCCCTCATTGAGACTTTCTTCCCAGGTGATCACAGATTGCATCAAGTTGACAATTAAAACTAGCACAGACTGTATCTCCCATATCCAGACACCCTATACTAAACTAATATAAAATAGTGTGAATTAAGAGTTGGATTAAGGTGGACCATTAACTGTAAACCCCATTAAGGTAAGGAAGGCTGTGTGTTCTAAATTATATCCCCAGGATTTAAAGCCACTAATATCAGATAAAACATCCCTGGTGTACAATAAATGGAATCCAGGTAGGTACTAAAGTAACTAAGGCATGCTGATCACCTGTAAAACTATATAAGGTGGGCCAAACTAAAAATGACTTCCCCGTTACTTTCACTGTTCATAGAACTAACAGTAATCACCGGATCTCTGTGAGTTTGAGTCTAGCCTGGTCTACAGAGCTTGTTCCAGGACACGTTCCAAAGCAATACAGAGAAACCCTGTCTCAAAAAAAAAAAAAAAAAAAAAAAAAAAAAAAAAAAAAGAAAGAAAGAAAGAAAATAATAATAATCACTAGACTGTCTTGATGTTTACTGTTTACTATGTACCATGTGAGGTAGTATCCGCACTTTCTGGAGAGAACAAGCACTATTGTCCATGCAAAACACTGTGGTGACTGTGCTGGGATTTGGGCTCAGTTGCTCCTGACTCAGTGCCTCCAAATAAGGTAGTTCTTAGTTCTTTTGTATAGTCATCACAAAGGTGTATGGCACAAGTTAAGTGATCAGTAAGGTCTAGTGATTAGTTATGATAACTATTATATTTATTTTATATTTTAATACATGTTTAAAAAGAGATAAAGTTTAATGAGTAGCCCTAAGATTTGAATCATTAAAAAGCATGATTTTAAAATTCATATAAAACAGAACCCAAAGAAATTAAATGGAAATTTTGCAAAAGGAGCAGGTTTGAAGCAGAGATTTTCTGTGTAGGCCTGGCTGTCCTAGAACTAGTTTTGTGGATCAGGCTGGGCTCAAATTCACAGAGATCCACCTGCCTCTGCCTCTGGAGCGCAGGAATTAAAGGCACCTGCCTAACACCAGAGCTGTTGGATTCAAAGGCCTCAGCTGAGTCTAAACAAAGAAAGCAATGAGCAAAGGAGCTATGACCGAAAGAAATGAAAGTACAATCGCAAGAGTCCATTCAGTAACCACCAGGCCGATAGGCACTGTTACAATCTCCTTTGATCTTCTGGAAAATCCAAACTTGAACAATACAAAAAAAAAAAAAAGTTCTACTTTTTCTAATTATTCTGGGTTGATTTTCACACACACACTCTCCTCTACATTAGACTTGTTTTGTTGGTCTCAGCTTCTGCAGTGAGACCCCCAGGGTCTTGAGTGACCACAAGTGAATGTGAAACTGTTTCCTAAGGGAGGTGGCTCAGTCTCCTGAAGCAGTCAGGTCAACAGAAAGAACATTCATGGCAGAAAAGAGTGAAGACACTTTGTGATGGGGCTGAAGAGCATGATGAGAAGGAGGAAGAGACAGCCAGCAGAGCAGTCTGGGAAAGACATGTTAGATTTGCCACATGCCCTGTGATCATCTTCATCTACACACCAAGTTCACCAAAACTTTCAGAATTGGAGTTTATTTTAGAGAAAAGTGTCCTGAATCTTGCCTAAAATAGTAGTAAAGCCAAGGAGGCTTCTTCCATTGTATTTGATGTCTGGTCTCAAGAAATACATGATGCCACGGCTTTTATCGCACACTGACACCTGTTGGAAGCATATGCTAATTGCAAGATAAGTACCAAGGGAGGAGGGGGTATGAATTCAAACTCTCTGGACCCTGACACTTTGTACCGATAATTTGACCTGTCAGCCTTACTTTTTCACCTGCATAGTGAGAATCTACTAAGTCATTGCTCAGATCTTCCTATTCCAAAGCTAGAATTGTTATTTTTTTTTAAAAAAAAGATTTTAAAGCATAAATTTGATAAGCATACTTAAGGTTTTTGTAAATAATATCATTATTTATTATCTTCAGATATTTCTAAAAAGTATCAAAACAAGAACCAGCATCTAAAACTAATCCATGTAGACTGACAGATTCACAATCTGTCATTTGAAAAGTAAATGTTCAGTGTAGGACATGCAGTATAACATATGTATCAGTGTTTCTAAAGCATGGTCATACCAAACAAAACAAATACAGGCATAAGAAGGATTTTCAGAAGCAGCCATGGAAAGAATCAGAGGTCTCTTTATTGCTAAGGCTATCAGATGTGTTACTTTCTTTTTCTTTTACAAACCTGAAAACTGTCTATACTTCAAAGTTCCCATCAAGTCCCTGGTTTTCAAAGGTTAATCACAGTGCAAGCTTGGTAGGGGGACTTACTCATATATTTCTAAATTGGTGACTCTGTTTTCAGTCACGTAGTTGCTTGGGATTAAGCCTTCATTCCTATAATACAAAACAAAACAAAACTCAAGATGGGAGTCAGGTTTGTAACATTACCATGACTATAGTTACTTAAACCTCAAAGTAGTAGGGGGAAATCAAACACATTTTACTCATTAAACTGTTCAAAGAATAACAATGGTTTTCATTTCCAACTCACAAAAATCTTTATACAGTAAATACCAAGATCCTGACTTGTAAATAAGGTATTTTAAGAGATTTTGTGATGCTATTTTCTTTTCTTTTCTTGAAATAATCTCACCATTTAGCTCAGTCTAGGCTCAAATTCCAGGTCCTCCTGTGTCACCTCAAGAGTGCTAAAATAGTTGCAGGCAGGTGCCACCAGGCCCAATTCCAATATGTATTTTAAAAGGAAAGTGGGGGCAGTTCTGAGTTTAAACTCAGTTTGTTTTGTTCAGAGAAAAGGGCAGTGGCAAGCTCAGAGCTGTGCAGCTGGTCTCACATAGGTGGACTACTGGAATGCCTCAGATTTAAAAATAAGCCATTAGCTTTTTATGTCATAGTTAAATGTATATGGAGTTTATAAAACTCTGCCAAAATTCTGCTTTGTCACAGTCACGTCCAAAGGGTACCCTATTTCCTCCCAAAAGGGCAGGCCAACTGACTCTTCCAAAATTGAGTCTAGGTCCAGCTCAACCTGGACTATAGGAGGATTTCTGGTGGTCAGGATAAAAGCCAGCATTCTTTAGGAACCTAGGAAACCAGTTCCCCACCTGCCAAAAGGAGCCATCTCTCTTACCTCTGGCAGAAGTTGTTGCTATCAAAGCCCATGCCTACCTCCAGGATTTCTCGGTATCACAAATACCTGTTACACATTTCAAGGTCCACACTAGCATCCCACCCTTCTTACTTCCCCAGGATTCCCTCCTCCCAGATACCTGTTTGTTCTCTTATAATGTCAAGGTTTCACCCACCCCTGCTATTCTCATCTGTCTGTCTGTCTGTCTATCATCTATATGTCTAACGTCATCTATCTACCATCTATTAGCTATCTACTCATTCTCTCTTTTCCCCTTACTCTCTCTAACTATACTATTTTCTCTCTATTCTCTCTCTCAGTATCTTGCCGTCTCCACTATTCTCTCCCACTTCCCTAGCCCTGGCCATCTCCAGTCTGCTGGCCACGTCCAGTCTACTTCCTTTTCTTTCTGCTCTCTCTCATATCTACAATATACTCCTTAACCATAACATGAAGCTGTCATGTTGACAGTTTCTTTACTGAAAACCCTCACTACTTCCAAATACTAGCTTTCCTGCACATAACACCACTGTCCACTTAGTGATTATTTTTAATGAGCTATGCTCACATGTTGAAATATGTGGTGTTGTTTGTAGATTTAATTTATGTAAAATTTATCACACTTCAAGCCTTGTTCTACAACTTTCTTTTAGTTTGTCAATAATATGTCTTGGTTGTCTTTTGGTCATTTCAAGAGGCGGTAAAGGGACAGAAAAAAGGAGAAACCCTGGCCTCCCCACCGACAGGTGCCATACCTGCAGCTTCCATATCCAGGGCGGGATGACCATTTGCTGGGAATTAGGAATTTCCTCACTTGAGCCCCACCTTATAGGAACAGTCTTACTTGTGTACAAGAGCATGCTCAAGAGTTGCTTTACATTGCTTATAATGGAGGAGGGGCAAACTAAAATGTATATATGTTGTAGAAATTAAAAGCAATGGACCCAATACCTTGGCAGTTTCTACTGATATCACTATGGTATCAACTGGTTATTAAGTCTTTCTTGATAGATTTATACCTTACATACCGAGACAGAATTTCGACTGGTCTAGCTAGCCAGCTAGCTCCAGGGGTTCCCCTTCTTAGCCTCCCTCTAGAGCTGGGGTTGCAGGAAGGCCCACTAGATTTTTATGTTTGTGAGACAAGCACTTTATGGAGAAAGCCCTCTCTGTAGTCCTTATTTATTATTCCTAGTCTACACTGAAGCCTTATAAAAGATCCCCAGGGACAAGTGGTGGCATGGGGGCGGGGGAGGGGAAGTGGAGGCAGATGTTTCTGTTTTCAAGCATCTGCCTGAAGTCACTATATTCTACTGGTTTCGTACAATCAGGGACGTGGAGGCTGTTTTTACCCCACCCAGAGGGAAGAGTTGCAGACGGGGAGATAATGCCCTACTGCACAGGGTCTCCCTTACATCCTGAAGTCTTCAGAGGTTGAGAAAAGATTACTAAGGCCTCAGCCATCACCTTACCCCAGACGGTCTCTGGCCTTCCACCAGTGAGGGTCACACCTCTCTAATATCAGGTATTCCTCCCCTCTCTTCAGTGCCAAATTATAGGGCTCCCGAGGCAGGAAATCATAAAGGGCCTTGACTCGGATCCTGTCTTCAGCGAGTTGGGTCAGCGGGAGAGGAGGCAGCGGCTTGCGTTTTGAGGGTTGCCCCCCGCCTCTGTTGGACTATAAAAAACATTATTGTTTTAGCCATTTGTACCAAAAGAAAAGAACAGGACGTGTGCATCTGCTTCCCTCTCGCTTCTCCTGTCCAGCTCCACCAACCCACCAAGGCAGAAGCCAGGGACAGGACAGTGCTGCAAACAGCTGACTGGCGCACAGCACTGAGGGCCAGGACACACACTGTCATTTTGTGACTCTTTGAAATCACGAACTCTCTTGACTGCTTAGCTTTGGAGTTTCACATGCCCTGATTCTTTAAATATGACTTATCCTGAAACAGTTTCATTTGGCTTTAGTGATTCTCCACTCTTGAGAAGAGAAACCCTGTGCTGTGAGCTTGTGTCTTGAGTTCTCCTCCTTCCCCAAGATTAGGTCTACCAACACTCAGCTGGAATTTAACCCACAATCTAAAATGAAGGGAGCCACAGTGTCTTTTCCCATTAGTCACCGTCTTGCTTCAAATTCTATCTTTAGGTCTAGCGGAGTAGGCTAACTTAACTGGATTTCCCCTTACTTTCTCCTAGAACGCTTACTGAGCTCTTACTGTGTACTGACTATGATTTTAATTTTTGGGCATGGCCACAAGCCAGACTTCCCTAGAGAGCTTAATAACACTCACTTGTTTCTTGCTCCTCAGTTTGTCGAGCCATGGCCTATGATGCTGGGAATAATTTTCTGAAGGTTCTTCATTTTTGCTCAGGCTTATCTGTGTTCTCACTTGTCTAGAATTGAAAAGCAATTGTTTTACAATCATTCACAGCAAACGTATTCCTAAATCCTTTAGATTCCTTCAGAGATAAAGCAATCTGTGTAGCTTTAAAAAAAAATGGTTTTTTTTCTATATATTTATTTCTATTTATTTATCTTCCTAGTTCTAACTCCTTGAGCAAATTCTGAACTACAACTCTGAGGACTTTGTTTTCTGTATCCAGAAGTCAGAAAGGCAACATGAATTCAGAGTTGTTTTGAAATTAAGTTGCAAGAATATGTCATGTGCCCAGAGTCTGATACTTTTGAGAGGCCTAAAATTATAACCAATCCAACCAACACAAATTCTGAGTCAGGCAGAATGCAAAGTGCTTACCAGTATCCATATCACCTACTGTTACACATGTACCAGGTGAGTGATTAAGAACACTACACAAGTATAACCGGGTGATAGTGGTATAGGCCTTTAATCCCAGCACTTGGGAGACAGAGGCAGGCAGATCTCTTCGAGTTTGAGGGCAGCCTGGTCTACAGAGCAAGTTCTGAGACAACCAGGGCTATACAGAGAAATTCAGTCTTGGGGGAGACACACAGTGTGCACCCCAGCCCTACCATTTCATACTGTCTCCTCAGACAAAGCAAAGCAACCTCTCTAAGCCCTGGAAGTTTTTGAGACTATGTGAATGAATAAATACAACCCTCTTAGCACAGTATTTATTAAATGGCTGCTGACACAATGTCTTGATTTAATTCTTACACAGCCACATACCAAAGCAAGACTCACGGGATGAGTGTTATAATTCTTTTGATTAAGGGGGAAAATTACTGAGAGGAACACAGACATATAAAACTAACAAATGATAAGGGCAGAACTATGCCACATTCTGTGGGGACACACAGGAGAAGGGGCTGTATGCAGGAGGAAGGATGGAGAACCAGAGCCCCCCTACAGTTTGACTTACGTCTTTAGGAAAATGAACCGTTCAACAGGGACCCAGTGGGGGAAAAGCTTCCCAGACAGAAAACAAAAGACACAGACAGGAGACTCAACAGACAGTCAAGACATTCCATCAACCCATTTCCAAGAAATTACCCTCAAGGCAGACTCACCTCTTCTGCACTGAGCAGCAGCAGCAGCAGCAGAGAACAGACTGGAAGGTGCTATCTGAAAAGGAGAGCATTGTCACTATTAGGAACCCATGGGTCCATGACAGTGTGTAGGTGAAGCTGGCTGGCCCCTAGTAAGAGCTGGGGAACCATGACTGTCAGAATCATAAGAACATCATGACCGTCTTCAGTAGTGGAAGACAAAAAAACTGTCACCAAACCAAAAAAAAAAAAAAAAAAAAAAAAAAAATCAAAAAGTTACTGGCACCCTGACCAGTGTGGTTTCCCTTCTCAGGCTCTTCTTTCTGGCCTGGTTTCTGCATTTCCTTTGTCTGTGAGTGACAAATGGTCAGTGTAGTCTCTTGTCATGGCTTGTGTTGGCTATCAGTACAGAAAGAACATGTTTCCAGAAACAGTGTTCTCCAAGGGAATCTATTAGCAGGAGTTCTAAATTAGACCCACCACTGTTTCTAGAAAGCTTTGAAGATGATAAGAAAGCTCACAACTTCATTACAGATAGCTGGTAAACTTCATCTTCATGTGATTTTAAATTAGATCACCAATCACCTGGCCTATTATTTTTCCTAGTTCCCAATTAACAAACCAGCTTGTTGGCCATTACCCATGACCCCATGTCTGTTAATGGCACAGACTACCTCTTTCCCTAAGTGAGCAAACTAACAGGCTCCCTGAAGTCGGGAAACCTTTCTTTCAGCATTAATTTCCAGGCTGCTTCTGGATGAGATACTTACACAGCAGGTTATTTCTTTCACATAGGTACAGGCTTGCAAAGCAGACCTATCCATAAACGAGCCCTGTACCTCTTTCCTTAGCTCACAAAGAACTATCTGTGACTCCACTGGTGGGGTTAAAGGGTAACAGTTGAGTATGTCTCCCGACCAGAGAGTTTCCGTAATCTGCTGGGGGCTCTTCCATAACGCCACCCCCACATAATCAGAAAAACATCCATAAGTTCGGTTTTGTAGTTCATTGAGCCAGAGAACAGCAGGTGCATAAGAGACAGTTTGAAACACATAAATATTAGATTCATGATAAGAATATAGTTTTAGGATTGGAGCTATGGTCCATCAGGAAAGAGCACTGGTTGCTCTTCCAGGGGACAGGGTTCGATTCCCCGCACCCTCACGATAGTTCACAACCATTTATTATTCTAGTCCTGGGGCATCCAACATACTCTTCAGGTCTCTGTGGACACCAGACACAAACATAACACATATACATGCAGATAAAACACCCAGATACATAAATAAAGTTAATTAAAAATTAAATATAGAGATTAAAAAAAAAAAAGAATCTAGTCTTCCCTTTCCTCAGCTGCTGCCAAAATGCTTGGTTTTTCTCACGAAACTAAGGCCATGCTAGAGTGAGGCCCTCACTCAATCCAGTGACTGCTGTGGATCTGATAGTCCACACCATGGCCTCTGTCTCCACACTCACTTTGCTGTTTATGTATGGTGATGAAGTAATTCTCACAGAGGATAAAACCATTGCCCTCATTTAAGCAGCTGCCGGTGTTAACACTGACCCCTTTGGGCATGGCTTGTTTGCAAAGGCCCTCTCCAGTGTCAACATTGGGACCCTCAGATACCAGTGTTGGAGCTGGTGGACCTGTTCCAGTGGCTAGTGCTCCAGTAGCTAGTGCTCCAGTGGCTAATGCTCCAGTGGCTAGTGCTCCAACAATGGCTAGAATGTAGGTTGAGAGGAATGAATAAGAAAAGAGGTGGAGATGGCTGGGCCATTTTGGAGGCTGGCTGCCATATTTAGCCCCTACCAAACCTACATTCAGGCAGTTATAGATTTGTATTTCTCTGCTTTAGACTCAGCCATTGTGCAGTCACTGAACTGCTGACATGTTGAATATACAGTTATTAAACTCAGGACTCCACGAAGGGTTAAAGTCCAGACCCTGACACACCCTTTAGCCATTGCTGTTGATGACTTGCTCTGACTTTCTATCACTTTCTTTTTTCCTTTCCTGCAACCAAGATGCATCTGAAAGCTTAAAAATAAAATTCATTGATTCCCAAATACCTTCAGGGTATCATGTCACTGGGTGTTCAGGTCCCAGCTGCTTCTGTCAATTCTCATCAGCTTTGTATGACATCTGTGTGAGCAAACTGCCAAAGAGACAGACAGACAGAGACAGACAGACAGGCAGACCACTCCTCAGAGAGAGGTTACATTAGCCGTTCAGCATCCCATCTGCTTTGGAGGAATGAGTCTGATTGGCGTTCCAACCCATTTCTTGCACAGTTGTAGAGCCTCATGAGATCTGTGTCTATCCAGTCCACAAGACAATTAAGTATAGATTAAACAAATCAGCAAAGCAGGTCAGTTCAGGACCTGTGGCAAAGGGCTATGTCCAAGTTTGTTTAGAGGTATTCAAATTCAAAACTTTTACCAGCACCCTGTATCACCATTTTCACCTTCTCATCAGACCATTTCTGTCAGTACAGACACACTGTTCATTCAGCCACCATTACAGAACAAAACAGATGGTCCTGTAATCATATTTCCTACGCCAGCTTTACTGATAGTGGTCAAAGCTGGAAATGAGTAGGCTGCATGCGCTGCTTCTGATGGCTCTCCTATAGTCTCTTTCTTCTGGAAATGTGGTATAAACATGGACACACACCATGAAACCCAGTGGTCAGTTCCAAGTTCCCCTCTCACAAGATCCGTATAACACGTGGTGGCTCCACACCCCGTTGGCTCATTCTAAGTTTCTCCATCTACCTCCCTGGCCTCTTCAGCTTGGACAACTTCCAAAGCCTTTGATCTTTTCTTTGTCTCATGCCCTCCCTTGATTACTTCATTTCCTCCTGTGGCTTAGAAAGACTCTTCATCAGCTCATGGCACACAGATGCACACGAACAGTCCAATTCTAATGAACTCCAGCTGAACACAACCAAGCAAACCCTCAGATTCCTCATTTGGATGTCTAGTAGTCACCCTGACTGGATGTTGAGATGAAATCTTCTTCTTCCTGTCCCCATCATCCTCTACCCACCCTTCTCCATCTTGTGGAAAGCAGTTCTCTATTCCCAGTGGCTCAGGCCAATGACGTGTGAGTCACCTTGACCCACTTCTTTTTCTCACACCTCAGGCCAATCAATGTGGCAGGAAAGCACAAGCCTTGAAAAAAACTGGGTTTAGTGACACATATCTGTAATCCTAGCACTTGGGGGATTGAAACAGGTGGACTGCTGTGAGTTAAAGTCAACATGGGCTACATAGTGAATATAATGCAAGCCAGAGCTACATAGTAAGACCCTGACTTAAATGGAGGGGGTACGTGTGTGTGTGTGTGTGTGTGTGTGTGTGTGTGAATGTCTGTGTGTGTATGTGGGGGTGTGCTCATGTGTGCACACATGCTCGTATCTCCCAAGAATTTCAGTATTTCAGTTCAGGGTCATAAAAATTTTGAGAGATGGGTCATGGTTGTACATGTTGTACAACAATATGACTGTATTTAATGTTACTGAAAATAATTAAAATGATCAACCCCTCCTCTTCCTTCCTCTTTGCTTCTTGAAGCCAGGAGCCAAAAATCAGCTTTCCCCAATTGCTTAGGCTTTCTTTTCAGTAAGGGAAAGCTAATTAACATCCCCCACACACAATTAACACCATCACCCCCCCCACACACACACACAGTTTTCTCCCATCTCATCGGTTACTGCTATGGTCAAACCACTGATATCTCACCTATTTGTACCCTGTCCTCTCTACAGTGCATTCTCAGCACAGTGGCCAGAGTAAGTCTTTTTAAACCTGTCAGACCATGTTACTGCATGCCTGCAAACTCCTCAATGACTCCTCATTTCACTCATAGCTGTAGCCAAACTTCTCATTGTAGCCTATGAAGCCCTCCACGATCTGGTTCTACTTTTGTTCCCGTCTCTCCACCAGGCACCTGTGCACTTCCCTCCAATGCCCAGCCTCCCACAGGCTACTTCTGGAGCACATCTGGCCAGCTGAGGGGCAGGCTCCTGCCTTTGGATAGCCTAACGTGTCTTCCTTCAGGGTCTACAGCATCAAGGCCCAGCAATCCTTTCAAGCCTTTGCTCAAATCTCACCTCATCAATGGACGTATGTGTCAACTATTACTGCCAGCTTTGTGTGTCACTCTGAAACTCCTTACTCTGTTCTTTCTTCTTTCTTTTCTTTCACACATTTCTTTCCTTTTAACATGATATGCAATTTACCTTTTCTCTCTTTTTCTAACTTTGTCTTCCCTTTAGAAAGCAAACAGATTTTTGTCTATTTGGTTTATTTCCCAAGACTAAAACAGTTCTTTAGAAATAGTATTTTTGGATAAGTGGGTGAATGAATATGTTTGAAGGAGCACCATAAGCTTGCTAAAAAAAACATTTTTGGGGGGTTTGCAAACTGTCCTTGGGAACAGAGTAATCGAACACCGAAGGAAGCAGTGAATCCCGAGAACATAGTGGATCAGGTTGTGAAAGTCTTTGAGGCAGAGGAAGCCCAGGCCTCCTTTCCTCCTTGCAGTAGTGGGTTGTAAACAGACAGTAGAGAGGAATCATTAGCAAGACTAAAGTACAACTGACAGTGCTCAGCCCAGAAATGTACCTGATGGTATAGCCAATTGTGCTATGACCACATATGACCTCCCTTTTTAAATATGACCTAAAATATTTAATATAATCAAAACTAAGAATAGTTACTTTATATAATTTCTATATTTTGCTTATTACCAAAATGTTTAAAGTTTAAAAATCTGTAAGTTAACAGAAGATGAACTCAGAAAGTCAAACAAGACTATGATTCAGTAGGTAGCTATTCTAGGACTTGTACATGCACACTACTTTTAGTGATAGATACAAACGGGTTTTATTTCTCTAATTCATCCACTGTTTTATGCTTTTATGAAAGTGGGATTTTCATCTTCTCCATTGCCCTCAATGAGAAACCCACCTATAGTTTCCCCTGATCTTCGCATGTTTGTCTATCAAGCCACCGTGTCTTGCCTGTCAGGGCTCCACAGAAACCTAGGGTTCTTTTTGAGACTCATCCTGT